TGAGATCACGACCTGAGCCGAAGGCAGAGGCTTCACCGACGGAGCGCCCCCAGGCGCCCCAACATTTGAACTTTCAAGCAAAAATGACAATTTCTAAACTTGTATCCAGCACCATGCACCATGCACTTGACACTTTCCAGCTTGAACTTTTATGAGATTGTTAAGGACGTTAAGATGATTTTTTTATAAAAAAAGTTTCAACACTTGAAGATGTGCAGAACTCAAATAATGTTCTCCAAACAGTTAATGCAGGATGTTATACAGTGATGCGTGGATCAGAGGCCCATTTCGCGGGCAAGATAATGTCCAGTAACCGGGTATAAGAAGTCCAGCGCCGTGGCCTGATTCAACACGGCAGCTAACCCGAAAGGACTACCAGTGTACAGGTCTGGTGTCAAATCCCCGCAGCGGACTGCAAAGGCTATTAAAATGAAAATATCCCCCCCTTCTCAAGTACTTACCTGTACGAGGCCAGATTTTCTTTACACACGTCAACCGGAACATTCATTTAAACCTTTCTCTTCGGAACGTTTTGTAGTTTTCAGTGTAGAGGTCTTGAACGTTTTCCTTTTTCAATTTCAATATACTTAACCTACAGTACTACGTTAGTTCTGGGTGCACAACACAGTGATTCAACAGGTCTATACACTTCTCAGTGCCCCTCGTTAGTGTGCTCTTAATCCCCTTCCTATGGCATTTCGCTCTCCGACCGACGTCCTTCACTTCGCAGTACACCCTCTTGATCCACCCATGCTCTCGTGATCGGCACGATTCCACTCTTGATGGTCGAATTACATTTCACCGTATGTTTGTCACATCTTCCTGATCCACGCGTCAGTCAGCAGACACTCAGCTTGTTTCCACGGTTTGGCCATTGTAAATAATGCTGCAATAAACACGGGGTGAATGTATCCTTTTGAATTAGTGTTTTCATTTTCTTTGAGTAAATAATTACTAGGTCATATGGTAGTTCTATTTTTAATTGAGAAACTTCCATGATGTTTTCACAGCGGCCGCACCAGTTTGCATTCGTACCATCGTGCGAGGGCTCCCTTTTTCTACATCCTCACCAGCACCTGTTGTTTCTTGTGTTTTTTTATTATTATATATATTTTTATTTTAGTCCTTCTGACAGGTGTGAAGGGACACCCTACTGTAGGTCTGCTTTGCATTGCCCTGAGTGATGAACATCTTTCCATGTGTCCATTGTCCAGCTGTACGTTTTCTTTGGGAAAATGTCTATTTGGGTCCTCAGTCATTTTCGCTGGATTACTTTCTTTTGTTTTGGGTGCTGAGTTGTAGAAGTTCGTTATGTATTTTGGATACTAATCCCTTATCAGTGGCAAATACCTCCTCCCACTCAGCAGTCTGTCTTTGGCTTGTGGTGGCTTCCTTCACGTTTTATTTTGATATAGTCCTAATAGTCTAATTTTGCTTTTGTTTCCCTTGCCTGAGATCTACCGAGAAAAAGGTCTCTGGCCATTGTCAAAGAAAAGACTGCCTTTGTTTTCTTCTAGGAGTTCTATGTTTTCAGGTCTCATCTATAGGACTTTAATCCATTTCGAGCTTATTTTTGTGTATGCTCTGAGAAAGGGGTCCGGTTTCCTTATTTTGCAAGTAGCTGTCCAGTTTTCCCAACACCTTTAAAAAAATTTTATTATTTTAGAGAGAGAGAGAGAGAGAGAGATGGAGCATGAGTGTGGGCAGGGACGGAAGGAGCAGCAGATTTCCTGCTGAGCATGGAGCCTGATGCGGGGTTTGATCCCCCGGTTAAGGCAGATGCTTAACCAACTGGGCCACTCAGGTCAGGTGTCCCAACAACAGCACTGAAGAAACGTTTTCCCACTATATATTCTTGCCTCCTCTGTTGTAGATAACATAAGCGTGGGCTCCTGTGCTGGGTTCCCTATACTGTTCCATTGATCTGTGTCCATTTTTGCACCAGAACCATATCGTTTTGAAGACTGTGGCTTTGTAGCGCACCTTCAAATTTGGGATTGTGATACCTTCAGCTTTGTTCTTCTTTATCGAGATTGCTTTGGCGATTTGAAGTCTTTTCTGGTTCCATACAAATTTTATTACTATTTGTTCTAGTTCTGTAAAAAATGTTAGTATTTTGATAGGGACTGCATTAAATCTGCAGGTTGACTTGGGTGGTGTGGCACATTTGTCCTTCTGATGCACGCGCATGGAATGTCTTTCCTTTCACTTGTGTCCTCAGTTTCTTTCATCACTGCTTTATGGCTTTCAGAGCGAGGAGCTTTCTTTTCCTTGGTTAAGTTTGCTCCTAGGTACTTTATTATTCTCGGTGCAACTATAAATGGGATTATTTTCTTAATTTCTCTTCTTGCTACTTCAATAGTGTATGGAAAGCAACGGATTTCTGCATATTAATTTTGTAACCTGCAACTTTACTGAATTCATTCATCAGTTCTAACAGTTTTTGGTGGCGTGTTTAGGGTTTTCTCTATGTAGTAGCATGTCATCTGCAACCTTCTTTCTCTCTGAAATGTTTTAGTTTTCAGTGTGGAGGTTTTGAACACCTTTTAAGGTATATTCCTAGGTGTTTTATGGTTTTGATGTTACTGTCAATGGAGTTTTTAAAGTTTAATTTTCCATTTGTTTGTGATTACTGTTTAAGCATATGAGCCCCTAAAAGGGTCTTCAGGCCAAAAAAGGTTCTTTTTTTACAGGTTCTTTTCTCTTTTTACAGAGAACCAGTAAACTCTTATAATTTAGAATGCACTTAATTTTGGTGAGACAGGCAGAGTAAAATTTCGGCTTATTCTTGGGTCAGTGTTAAAATGATGTCCACGTTTTTAAAGGACTAGAACTTTATCTTTGTCAGGTCCTAAGTATGAAAAACTTCCCCAAATATATACAAAGTAGAACAAAACACCTTCATGTACCCAGTGTCAACATCGGCTCCTCTCCCATCTTGTGTGAGCCATGTTCCGTCTGCACTCTACCGCTCCTGTGCATTCTGAAGCCAATTCCAGGGACGATGGGATTTTCCTGCAACGACGTTGTTATGATCTGTAAATGGGAACCTCACATGCTCACGTCAATGCCTCTGAGCGACGAGACAAGGAAACTGCATCCATCACACTGTGTACAGCGGGTGCCCCTCTAGGTTCTACACAGTAGGTGGTCCCTGAGAAGCAGTCAGATTCTGTCCAACAACTCCCAAGACTAAATGAAAAGGTTGACCCTCCAGCATTTTAAGAGATTCACTCAATGTTTTCCAGCAAATATTAACTCACTGCACAGTCTCGGAAATACATTAAGGACTAGTCTAAGCACAGGATTGCGTGGTTCCACCTCTCCTGCAGACTCAGAGCAACCTGGGTGGCTTCTCAGAGCAGTCATTTAGAAGGGCGGCAGCCGCCATCTGGGCTCAGGGCTCGATTACTGATGCCTGCTGTGGGCACGGGACTGGGTGGCATCAGGGCTTCATTACTGATGCCTGCCGTGGGCACGGGATTGGGCGGCAGTGACACAGCAAGTGTATTTGCGCATCTGTTCTCAGCCTCCAGTAATTTTTGTGACACTTCCAAAGGCTAATGCCCCCTCACTCTGGTATGTTAAATTTACAATAATATGCATAAAGAAACCAGTGCTCTAAATAACATACAGGGCATGCCAGGAAGATTATTTTGTTGGCATTTACTAACTGTAATTTACAGTTTTAAAAGGCTTATGTTCATAAATGTCTGCTGGCCTGACGTTCAGTAAATTATGGTCATTGTCTTTTATGAAAATATGCGCACAGGGACAATACTGCCGGCGGAGACAACTGATACTCCTCCAAGAGGCTCTGGGAGAAAAGGGTCCTAAAACTAGAGCATATACATCAAGAAACCAAAAGTAGCCAGAAATCACATGGGCAGGACCAGAGGAGTAAAGTAAAATCTTACAAGCAAAATAAAAGGGGACACTCCACTCGTCCCTCCCTTCCTGTCCCCTGCACGGAAACCCCCACCCCCCTCCTCCACGCTAGAAAGAAAGCACACCCCAGGCATGGCTCAAGTGTGAGTTTTTTATTCAATCTGTAAAGCACGGTTTAAAAACAAGATGTTAGTAACACTCTTAGCACATTGGCTTGTTCAATGGACATTTTCTCTAACTTCACCAATTTTCATTACAAAAATCAGAAAAGTAAAAATTCATTACAATATTTGCACAGTGTGACCACTAGCTGCTTAAACAAAAGCTAATTTCTATAAAACCATAAACTTAGTGCACTTTTATTAAGAGAGATCCAAAATTCTCTCAGTAGACGGGATACACAGTGGTATACATTTTAAAGCAGAAACCACTCCCCCCCCACAAAAAAAAACAAGAAAAAAGAAAATATAAGTCAAAATAGTCAGTTATAAATATCCTGACCTGACAGTTCCTACAAATAGTAATTTCCACTACATAATAAAGGAAACCGTTATCTGTGGTACAAACCGCAGAGACAAAGCAAGAAATGTGGGATAAAACCACGATAGGGCAGAAGTCAGTCCTGGCTGCAGGTGTTTTCAGTGAAACCCGGGGCAGGGAGCTACGTTGTTGACAAAGGGGCCGCTTCCGCCCCCAAACCACCACGCGTGCCTGGAAGACACACCACACGGCAAGTTGCAAAGTTTCAATGAAGACTTTGAAAAAGACAAATGTTCTTTTTTTCAAGAAATCTTTGTAAGGCTGTACTTTGCATAGGGAATGAGCCGTCTTCTGTCACAGATTCTACAGGTTGGAGCAGAAGCAAGCTTTTCAAAAGGACTGTGGACCAGGAGTCTGGAAGGACGGCATTCTACGGTGAGGGCGTTCAAAGGAAAACACCGAGGCTGGCAGCCGAAAAATTAGACTCGGAAAGAGGCCCGCCAGCCTGAGGAGGAAACACCTGGGCGCTTAGTCAGCCGTCCTCGTGCACACAACAGGACTCACGAGGAACTTCTCAAACACAAGCCAGCTTTGTCAGAACGCTGAAGTACACAAAACCAGTACAGGTCGTGACAGTCCCTCAAATGGGCGCTCCATGAGTATTCATAGTCGGCTACTAGGAGGGATGGGCGCGTCCGCACGGTCAGGCTGCCGGTCTCTACGAGCCGTGGTACAGGTGCATGGCCCCCAGGGCGGCACCGCCGTGTCTCTCTGCCCCCTTCGCGGAGCTGGGGTGTTCCGCCACGCTACTAAGCTCGGGGATGCTTTCAGCGGTGTCCCCAAACCCATGGTAATGCCCGTAGTGCAGGTTCTCCTCAATGCCCTCCACCCAGGAAGGTCTATTAGCCACGCAGCTACTCGGGCTCCCGTTCAGGTGCAGAGAGCCGCACATCTCGGCGTTAGCGCTCACGGTCTTTTCCGGTTCCTCGGTCCCATTGACACAAAGCGAACCCTGGCTACTCGGAAAAGGCCGTCCTTGAACTAAGCCACTGCTAAAACTATTAGCTCCTGATAAGCTCTGGTCACTCCTGCTCTCCGTCCCATTGAGCTGTGTCGTGGAGGGGAAGTCCAAATGTCCATTGATGACACATCCATTTGCCAATGTATCCGACGCGGGGCTACTGTTTTTCATATCTGCATTGAGAAATACACCTGTCACCAAAATTCTGAACCAGAGGGGGAGGAGGAACTAGAACGGTTTCATTGCTGCCACAACTCTAAAGGATTTATTTAGCTTCTTTTTTTTCTTTAAAACAAACCAGTTCCTTTTCCGGAGGTAAAAAACTGCACAGGCAGATTTAAAAATAGAACCAACAGCAGCATGTTCCTGGTAAGACAGGACACATCTCTGGCTTTCGGCTGCACCGAGCGGCTAAATGCAAACGGCTGAGCCGACAGATCTGCAGCATGAGAACGACCAGCAGCCCCGGAACGCCGCCAGCAACACCCAGAATCGAGAAAGTGCTCTCGTGTTAAGACTACTTTCAGGAAGACGTTTTAAAAATCACCTGCGAGACAGTCCAGCAGAACAAAGTGGGAGGTTTCCCACACGTTAAAACAAAACCCCACCCCCTCCAGCTCTTAAGGAAAGGGAAAAGAAAGGCGGCCACCGAAACGGGGGCCTGGGGGCTCCTGGGACCGCGCCACGTGAGCTCTGGGGACGCGGCCCACTGCTCAGGCCTGGCGCTCGGACACGGGAGCTCAGATCTTAGCGACCCTTGCGTCCGCGTGGCACCTGTGTGGCTCGGCGAGCGGCCGGCGAGGATGGGACACTAAGCGCTCTCACGCGTGCGGTCTGGGACCGGCGGCGCAGCAGCGCGAGCCCTGGCAGGGCCTTCCGAGTTCGCCAGGTGAGTGGACTCCGATGTCCAAGGCTTCATCTAATGAGGCTACGGTAAAAAAACGCTTAGGTTGGGAAAATGCGGCTTGCTTAACCTGCATAGGCAGACATCCACCAAGAGGAGATGTCTTAGGGGGAGTGACAGAGTCGATCCCAACACACCCGAGCCCAAGGGGACAGCGATTACAAGGTACTTTTCTGTACAAGGAAACCCGGGATTCAATATTCACGTTCACAGGAGTTCATAGAACCGTACAAAGAATGACTGAAAATTAGGTCTTGCTTGGTCATAGGAAACTTTATCTCAATGTTCTGAGCTGTTAAAGCAAGGTATGGTATTAAACACACCAACGGAGTCCCACGACCGCTGGAACGAGGACACGTTTCCGCACCGATAGGCCCCTGACACACAGTGTGGCCCTCCCCCAGAAGGGCTGACTTTCCGCCTCACCAGCCAGGTGCCTCTGATTTGCACTTGGACATAGGTTTCTGTGTGTCCTGCAAATCTTCCTGCCAATAAAAAATCATGGCTTGTTCAATGAACAAAAACACCTTCTACACATTCCATTAATCATTTTTCTGGCAGTTTAAGTGATAATCATACTTTATAACTGCTATAAATTCTTCAGAGGATAAGGGACTTTTTTTTCCCCCCCAAATTAAAGGATAGCTCTTTTATTTAGTTAAAACTCAAGACTAGAGAAGAAGTATTTCAAGAACCGAACATGAAGTAGAATAAAAAGCAATAAAATGAGCTAATCCCAGAGAACTTTTATCACTGTTCCTGGGTGATGAAATTCATGAGTAGGATGGCGACCTTGATGGTCACTAAGACAAATAACTGTGTCCTAGTAACAGACACGGACATGAGGTTTCCAGGGGATCAGCCCTGAAAAGGTCCAGGAGCACTGGCTCAGACATCGGAGTCACTTTGACTCAATTCTCCGTTCGAGCTCAGTGTGCACGCATCTCCTCTAGTACCCAGGGGGTGCAAGGACGAGCGCCGGGACGCAACGTCAACACCAAGGCTACTTCATGACCTCATGTCCTTGCGGAAAATCTAATCCAGCTGAGCACGAGAACGGTGGGCATCCTAGAGACTGGCTATTCGTGACCCCGCCTGGCCCCCTCCAACACCGTCCTAGCTCCTTGCCCCTCACGCCTCTCCGGGCCCACACTCCCGCACACCACCTGCCTGCCCACGGCACGGCCCCCAGGAGTTTCAGCCCATTTTGTGCACGTGGGAGGACGGTGCTGTGCGTGAGGTGACCGGAAGTATGGCGCCCTTCACACAGGACAAGCTGGGCTTGAAATAAAAGTGTGGCCTTTTCAACGCGACACCCACGCTGGCTATTAAATTTGGCCTGAAAACGCAGGATATTAATGCTTGAAGTTTAGAAATTACTTCTGCCTTTTAAAGCATGTAGCTATGTCATTTGTTTTGAAAAGCTTTGAGTTTTGTTACTTGTCTTTAGCCAAGGTCTTTAAATTATTAACGTATTAGGATTTTCCACAGAAAATCTACCCATTTAATTATCTGGCAAGAAGGTGATTCCACCTGTAACCCTGTAGCTTCTAGAAAGATGTACACATTTTCCTTCCATTTTTAGTCACAGAAATGATTTTTCATGTATGTCTGGGAAGCATAATGCATAATCTCTTACCCCAGTGAAGAATTTAGCATAGACACATAATAAAACCTTAAACAAACCAGTATCTATTTCTACATATATTAACACAGTAAGAAAACTGCTAAGATGTTTTCATGGTCATCTAACGAGAAAATTGGCAGAGAAAAGTGTTAACTCCAAGGAAAAGTCTTGAAGATTCTGAATGCTAAAAGAAACAGCCTTTAACTATCAACCGTACGGAGACATTAACACCTATAGCGTGTACGTGTCTGGGGGTCACGGCGCCCAGCACTTGGCTGGACTTGGGAGCTGCTGTCCCAGAAACCACAGCAACCAGCAGAGGCGAGTGGGAGGCCCCACGCTGGTGAGCCCAGTCACAGGTCAAAACCATCCACCCGTCCTCCATGTCCACAGCAAATCATCCTTCTTGCTGCGCACCAGGCAGAAACTACTAGCAACAGATGTCTGGGGTGTTCACCCAAAGGTCAGATGTCAGGAAAATAAGCATGCGAAACCTCTTTGAAAGTAAACAAGGCACGTTAAGCGGAAGCTTCAAACCAAAATAGGAAGATTGCACTTGAACGTCTCATATCTACAGAATGCACCCAAAACACTTATCTTTGTATCTACAAACTCGCCCAAGATACGCAAACTGTAGCATAACATTCTTTAAAACGTCGGACAACAAAGTGCAACGCTGGGGAGGAGACTCGGGTCAGAAATAGTACGCACACTGGTTCCTGCAGCGACAAGGCGTTTGCATCGCTGAGACCGTGTATACTTCTATTTCTCTGGGTCCGACAGAACCACCCTCCTGCTGTCTGGTGTCTTCGACCATGGGGCTGCTGCCACAGCTAACAGGGAACTGTCCACTCCCACCTGTGACAGCCGTGAGCTCTCGGTCGACCAGCATTTTGTCAGCTTCGTCATCCGCGTCGCTGTTCCCCAGCGGCGTGCAGGGACCCGAGCTCCGAGCTGCACAGAACACAAAGGCAATTTTAGATCGCTGCACCCGCAGGCTTTTAAGACAATGGTTTCTCCCTCCTTTTCTCCTCTAAGAGCCTTGAATGCTCCCAATGTGTGAAAACAACGGAATATAGGGATCAGCAAGGAGCCTAGAGCACGACTGGGAAACTTCGCGAAATGTGCGGCTCCAAGGAAAAGTCACGGGATTTCGGACACTTACTTTACCTGTACCCAGTGGCACAAATTCTCCTTCATGGCTGGTCCCCGGAGGAAATAAAGCAGTTCTACAACCCACAGAGGTTTCTAAATATGTTTCTAAGTTCAGCATACTCTATATTATGCCCCGAAATGTTCCTTCAGTTATTTTTCATAAAGAAATACGAAGACAGGGGCGTCTGGGTGGCTCAGTAGGTTAAAGCCTCTGCCTTCGGCTCAGGTCATGATCCCAGAGTCCTGGGATCAAGCCCCTCATCGGGCTCTCTGCTCCGCGGGGAGCTGCTTCCTCCTCTCTCTGCCTGCCTCTCTGCCTACTTGTGATCTCTGTCTGTCAAGTAAATAAAATCTTAAAAAAAAAAAAAAAAAGAAATACAAACACAATTCTCGAATAACATGAAAACCATTAAAATTATCCTAAATTTAAAAAAACTCACTAATTTCAGTAGTAGAAAGGAAAGTAAAAAGCCAAGGTTAAATACTGTCCTGGGGGCGTGGGCCCGTGCACCAAGATACAGTAACACTGGAAACGAACATTACAGTCCTAGTTCCAAGATCTTTGGAGCTGAAGTTACGTACATTCCTCAAAAAAGCATCGTTCTCTGGATCTTGGAGGAAAACGAACATGCACATTTAATGTTTCCTGCAAGAATCACACTCATTGTGTGGAAACACGCCCCTGGGCACTTTCCCTGGGCGCCCCCACCCTACCCCCAGCAGCCACGTTCCCGTGTATGTGGCTTTCTGGTGTCAGCACACACGTGCTATTACAAAGTCGGACCCCCAGATCGCCTTCATGCCTTGCTTCTCTTCATCTACCACGGCATGAATGCAGCTCGTGAGCAAAGTCCAAAAGAACCTTTTAAAGTCAAAGAATCATTGCTGTAGGGTCGCATTATAACCCCCCGTAACCCCCCGCGACTGCCCGGCTGTCCTTTCGTGAGCACCACAATGGACAACCTCACCACTGCACCTGCGTACCTCTGGGTCTTTAATCAGATAAATTTCTGGGTCAAAGTATATATACAACAAACAACTTTTGTGCTAAATCTTTCCAATAAACATTTAAAAACACACATCAACTCTGCAGCTTCAGTTACGTCTGATTTGGAGGCAGGAGTCGTTTCCTACAGATGTAAAAGGAAGGAGTGAGCGTACCTGCTCCAGATTGCCGCTAACCGCAAGCCAAACCGCGGAGACCGGAGAATAATGTACAGTCTTCGTGAAGAGGAACGCAAGTCCCGGACGACTGGCATGTGGGAGAAACAGAGCAGTGTGACCTGTGTAGCTGGTCTGCACAGGTAGGAGGCCAAGGTCACTCACAACACAGGTGCTTTTAAGCCCAAGGCATTAAGCCACGGATTTCCGGCTTTCCCACGCAAGGCTCTCCTCCTTCCTCCACGGGCCCCCATCAGCGACAGGCAAGCTGCCCCGCCCCCCGGGAAGCAGGTACTTCCAACAAGTCCGTGGCAAACTGGCCGCCTTCACGAGGGGGGGGGTGTTCAGGACCTTCGGGAGACCTCAGCCAGTCATTTCAGAGACTGCTGAGTCTCTGAGGAGCCTGCGGTCTGCGTGGGCTCGGGTCCTGCTCCTTCCTCTCCTACGCCGGGTAAGCCGTCCTGGGAATCTGGTGGTCCGCGGAGAGCGGGCGCACGCCAGCCCAGCAAAGCCACGGACGGACGCCTCTGCAAAAGGGGAGCTTCACGGGGCTACAGCACAGCGCTCCGTGTCTGTACTCGCGAGGTCTGCTCTTCAGGGTTCGGGGGCCAGGGTTCCTGGGGACGGCGAGCCCTGAGCTAAGGGTGCCATTCCACATGTCTGGAAAGGAAAGCAGGTTACAAAAGCCCCGACAGAGGACAAATCCGAAAGTGCTTCCTGAGAGCAGAGCTACTTATCTGCTCATCCCTTAAGCCCAGTGCTCAGAAAGGGGACTGTATCCATGAACGAGGCCGCTCTCCAGCCTGAAAAGGCACACACAGAAAGCAAACAGAAGTGACTAGTCCTGGAGCGAGGAGACTGGCCCCCTGGAAAGGCCGGCTGTGAAGAGCAGCGGCCCGGGCGGGCCTGCCACTAGGGGGCCGGAGGGGCCGCAGGCAGAGGAGTCTGGGGACATCCAAGGTCAAACGAAGAGGAGGAGCCAGGGGACAAGGCCAGTTTGCCGTGGAAGTGACTCAGGGGCCGACTCTGAAACCCTGCCACCTCGCCGGTGCGCCGTCGGTGCCGACGGCTCCCGTAACAGGACGGGACAAAAACGGAACCATCCGAAGGCTCCCCTGCTCTAGTCAAGGAGCTCTTTAACAGGGGCAGGTGCTCACGCACGCAGGCCGGGTTCTCCACAGACGGGCCGTCTTTGCGGAGCACCGTTGCCACGAAGCACCTGCAAGGCTTTTTAAAACTCGCGGCAGACAGTCCGGCCGCACAAAGACCCGGGTCATTCCAGCGCCTAGCAGTCAGCGGCACAGACGCAACTTACTTTTTAAACCTGTGTTTTACGAACCGTGATTGACGCTGGCCTCTCAGAACTGTCGGAACATTGGCTCCGACCAGACTCCTCTCCCCCACACCCATTCGTGTGTGCCGAAGGAGCCACGGAGACGTGCCACGCTGCGTCTGAGAAAGGCAGCCTCGCAGACAGAACGCGAGGGGTCTCTCCCCAAGCGGTCAGTTTGGACGCGCTCTGGGGCTCGGAGCAGCAGCACCTTCTCTTCCCATCTCTCTACCGACCTCCACAGGAAAAAGCAAAGACCACGACACATTTCGTTAAAAAAAGTCCTGACCTCCTACTCGGCCACAGGAGGCATTTGTCGAGGACAAGAGATTCTAGCACACGTTAGCCGTGGACCATCTGCGGCAGGACACTGCCTAGCAGTGGCTCAAGACAAACCCTCCCAGCTTCCTTCCTGCAGAGGCGACTTTGCAAGCATGACTGACCATGGTCCAAATGCAGAACCGGGCACTGGTACGGCTGTCTGAAGCCCGCGGCCAGCTCTCAGCGAGATTCTACAGCCACGTGTTTGCTTTACGCACGAGCAGTCTGAAAGCCTGGGGTAGGTTCCCTGGGCTTTTGGAAGGCGGGGAGCACTGGACGGTGCTGTCGGGAAGCGGATTCCTGAGGGGCTCGGTACGGCCGGGAAGGAGCATGTGCAGGACAAAAACGAGTTATGTTTCACTTTTAATAGTGAACTCTCTGCCCAGCGTGAGGCTTGAACTCATGACCACAAGCTCCTACTGAGCCAGCACGGCACCCCCCAAACACAAGATTCCAATCACCAAGGACACCTGCAAGCTCACCTAGGGCTCCTGAAGAACGCCCACTCAGGCTTATTTTAACGTTCAAGGCAGAAGCGTCTCTTAAAAAGCAAAATTCAATCTCTATGGTCACATCCTTGTGAGGTGCTGGTGTTCTGGCTGGCTAGCAGGGTGCGAACCCCTGGACCCAGCACGAGGGAGCTGTCGGGCACACAAACACTGCTAAGTAGGTTTGCACGACAGACCTCGGTGAGGCTGGGCTCGTGACACAGACTAGTGACCCCCTGTTGTGCATCTTCAGGGTGCCAGTGTGTGGGGGTCCCAGCTGTGGGTCAGCCCCCAAGGGGAGTTGGCCAGGAGCCCCAGGACGCTTCACACACCTGTGGTCTCCCCGCGGAACCGGGAGCCCCAACCACTGGCAAGCCCTCACGTCCCCTTTAAAGTAGTCGGGAAGGAAAGTCTCCGAGGGCTTCCCACTGGCCTTAATCAGAACGATTTCTTACGCACTTAGCACAATTTACCTGGATAACTACTTTTTAAAGAGAGGTTCAGTTTCAATCAAAGCAGGACCTGAGGCCGTAATGAAGATGGTTCTACCGTGGGGGACCATTTCACAGACTCTAAGCTCCCGCCACGGCCCAAAATGCAGCAGTGAGAGTTCTGGAAACACCACCGGGGGCCTTGGGGTTCTGTGAAAGGACGCAGGAGGGAGGAAAGTGCATGGGATGGCTGACTCCGGCCACGGCCGCTACACTGCTCTGGGAACAGAGGAGCCTCCGGAGGCTGGAATTCGAGACGGAAATGGTGCAAATCACAGAGAGCGCTTGGTTCTCAAGTGTCATTCAGATCACCATTACCGGATGCTACGTCTTCAGGGATCAAGACAAAACAACCCTTTGTTATTCCAACCGCACTGTTCTCTTACTCTGGTCAAACACTTAAACTCTGCACCTGAAGTCAGTCCTGTGTGTCTCTAATGTATGGGATCAAACAGGCGGGAGCCACATTTTTAACTGGGGAGGCAGTGGATCTCCTGAGGCTCAGGCTCTAACTGGGCAGATGCGTCACCCTCCCCCCCACCCCGGCCACCTGCCACGGCCCGTCTCCGCTGTGGTGCGGACGGATACTGAAGACCAGAGTGCAGACTGTTCAATGTGAAGTTTACCCAGGGGAACGTGTGCTGAGAAACTTCTCGTTGCTGATTTTAAACAGAACCATAATGCTGTAGATTTCCCAATAGGTGTTTTTGTAAGTTAAATACCTATACATTATGTATGAAATTCCAAGATCAGTACTATATCCATCTGAATTAAAAACCGATTTAACGAGATCTGGTATCAACACAGGCTCCTTCCTATGGCAACTGTTCCCAGTCACAAAACCCCGGCCCCTGGCTCAGTCTGCAAATCACCCTGCCCCTCCCTGCTCCCAACGAGGAGCTGCAGCCAAAGCAACTCCTGATTGAAAGAAGAGGGAAGTCTCTCCCATGGACAGGACCGGCCAGGACCGGCATTCTTTCCCAACCAGTCTCCCTGGTATCTGGGTGGGTTTCCAAGGACCACACACACAGGTAACGGTACTGCTACTCCTGAAGGTTAACAGAAACACTAACAGAATCGTTACAGAGCAGCCGTCACTGAAGGACATCTGTCATCCCACCTCGAGCCAATGGTTGATAAACGGGGGTAAAACACCCCAAAACCCACTTACACACTTGTGCTTCCTTGTGCCACCCCAAAGGAACAAAACCCCATCTTATGCCAAAATACTTTTAATTAGAATCAACCGCTGAAGTGACTTTGGACTTGACTTTACGCTCGAGTTCATGGCCCCACGGACTAGGTTTACGCTCTGACCAGGGTGGAGGGAATCCTGGTGTGAATGGTGGGGCAGGGGCTTTCACATAGGACCTGCCCGAGGCTCGCCCACTCCCCCAGCACAGCAGACGGTCAAGCAGCATGGAAAGGCTGCAGTGTCATTAATCCTTCAAGTTCTTTTCCATCTGTAGTTTCCAAGGGAAAATCACACCAATGACATTAAAACATCTGAAAACAGTTTAGTGGAAGCAGGGACAGAGGCCACTTTCTGTGGAGAAGAGTAGGGAACTTTGTCTCAGGATTCCAAAGTAAAAAAAAAAAAAAAAAAAGTTAAAAAAAAAAATAAATTCACAAAGCACATTTAAAAAGTTGGTTTAGCCGGAAAAACTTCTGGAAATAACTTTTATGAACATAAAATGCACATTAAAAACACGAGCATGTGTGATTTAGTTGCAGAAAGACTGGCCTGAATTTCATTGATAAGGTTTAAGCTATGCCTTCCTATGGCCCAGACCGCACTCCTGGCACTTAAAAGCCTAACTTGTACTGGGGAAGAAAGAAGGGAGACAGATTTTTTTTTTTTTTTTGGAGACAAAATTTTAAATTCTTTTAAATATGTTGACATGGGAAGTTATTCAAAAGTATTTTATATGCATGTATTGGATAAGGAAAAAAATGCCTATTTTTCCTCTGGTGTGGGAGCCAAAAACTTATTTGCAAAATGAACGATTCAGAATGAGCAAAACCTGACGCTCAGACATTTACACAGCAAATCAAAACGAGATGCCAGGTGTGAAGTGAAAATGAACTACAACAACGGATCCTGAATCGCCTACTGGAACCCGAGCCCGGGGCAGAAGCACTCGCACAGGCAAACAAACTTCCTTCCGAAAACCCAGGCAGCTGGGGCAAAGTCATGAGACCCACACCCCGGCCCCCACTCACGGCGAGCACGTAATGATAAAACGAAAGCAGTCATCGCCACTCGCACCCCCCCCCCGCCGAGGAAAGAGGCGCAGGCTGCAGGCCTGTCCGTGCTCCCACAGCCATGACCGGAGACACACGCATGCGCTCAGGGACGTGGGAGACACTGCCCGGGACCAGCACTGCCTGGGGGACGGGAGCGAGGACGGTCCAGCTCAGATGTCTCACGCACTGGCTGACAGACGGGACCGCCGCTGGGGCGGGCAGCACAGCCCAGCCTCGGGGCCACGTGCCTCAAAGCCCAGGCTCCAGCCACATCTTCTTCCGAGCCGGTGCCCCGGCAGAGCAGCGGGAACAGGCTGCCCGGGGAGTCTCGGGAAAAACGTGCATCTCTCACCCTGTCAGCCAAAGCAAACCTGCCTGGAGGAGGGAAATAACCCCTGTCCACATCTATCCACCCGCCGGATTCTTCGGATCCGTCTGCGTGGTGACAAGGTCTAGGAAACGTACATTCAGGTCTCTTCAGGGGCGTCAATAAGGAGACGCTGGCAGATCCGACGGACCTGAACGCTGCAGAGCCTGGCTGGGAAAACTCTTTGGCCCATGTCTGAGTCTTGTTAGAACGTTTGGGGACATCCGTCTTAGCCTACTAGCGGAATCCAAGATTTCTGCTGTGAGCCTGCACCCGTGCACGTGGACAGGTACCGGTCTGCTGCCCAAGGGCCCACGAGGCCGACACTTCACGTCATTCCAAAATACGAAACCAGGCATGAAGCGGACAAGAAAAGACTATTTTAAAAAAGTGGATGCTCTTAAAGGGCTTTTAGACTACGTTAGGGAAGACTCGGCCGGAACACAAACACATCAGTGACCGTGCTGGACGAGAGCTCACTGTCAGGCCCCTGCGCGGGCGGACACCTGCTCATGTCGTTTGTGCTTACTCCCTTCTGGCACTCTTAGAGAGCTCTGTGACTCACAGAAGCCAGGAGTTTCGTAAACCACCACCTCAAGTTCATACATTCATTTCCACAAAAAAGAAGTCCGTTTTCCACAGTCACTAAGTATTTAAAAGCAGGTAATACAATTTTATCAACTTTATAGTAAAAGAAGCCCATTTTCATCCAAACACTGTCCAGTCAGAATGAAAATGTGCAGCGTTGGAAAGAGGATCACGTTGACCCCCGTGGGGTGTGGGCAACGGAGGCCTTCAGCCGCCCAGGTTTTCCTCCTCCTTTCCTTGCATAGCTTTTTATTTTTTTAATCAAAGGGCACAACTTTGTCCTTATGCTCAGCTCTTACCCGAGCTCCCAATTCCAATGTGATTACTTTTCACTGCCACCTCTATGTGTCCCTCTCTGTGTCGCTTTGTTAAATACTCTTGCCCGGCCACTGGTCTGTCTTGTAAGATCTCTTACAGACAGGTTCACACACACGTGTTTCTCTAGGTGAAGGGGAGCTGTTCTCATCTGAGACTGACCAGTGACTCTGCTGCACCATGAACTCCAAAATCATCTGAAGATAAAAAGGTGGGAGAACACTTATAATTCACTTACAACTCACTTACCTTCCAGGCGTATCCTCGGGTCTCACCGCGACACACACACCGCACTGCGGGTGCGGAGACCAGATGAGGCAAACCTCTCCCTGCCCAGACATGAAACCGTGTTTTGCTACCAGACCAGCAATGTTATTCATAAGCTCAGGGACATTCAGAGGAAACAAACAAACAAAATCAGGCACGGTGGCGGATTTTTTTAATTATATTTCAAACAGGTACAGGAAAGAGAAAAATCTAATGCGTGGCAGAAAACCCTGGGTGTGCACAAAGGTACACACACGCACACTTCCATCTGAGCTGTCAACACTGCCCTCTCACCGCAACCCTTTGGTTAAAGGGCCAATCTTGCAGAGGCCACAGGGGGAAACGCCACCACCGCACCAGGCTCCTCCAGGCACAGGACCCTCAAGCGAAGGTCTCCTCTCAAAGGTGCTTCCAGCCGTAAAAAAGAGCACACGTTACAGGAAAGAGGAGAGTGCCCCCCTCCCGTCCACCAAGGGGTCTCACCTTCGGTTCGAGCCTTCTTCACTCCAAAGGGCTCCGGATCTTCCAAGCATCTCTTGCGATTGGCTCCCGCACTAGTATGATTAGGGAATCGGCTCTGATGGCCCCCGTTTATGGGGCCGTTATCATAGAAACGGCTCAGGTGACAGTTCTGCAGGTTCAAGAGAAACTGGGTGCACTCTTGGAAACCCTGGGTTTGAGCAATGTCTGCTGCTGTCAGGCCACTGGCGTTCCTCAGGCTGCGTGACACAAAAACACCGAATTACACCCCGCCGAGCGCTCACCTGTCTCTGCTCCTGCTGACCTGACTGACTAGCTCAAGGGGCGGCAAGAGGACACGGAGGTACTGCGAGCCTCCCTTACGGGGGAGCTCTGGTCCTGCTGCCGTGCTAACTGGGCTCTTGCGCACATGTGATCGCTAAGCGAGGTCGGGAGACAGGCATCTAAAAATCAACGCGCTCGACTTTAAAAAAGGCATCTTCCTATTTTACTTCTCACAATCATTTCTTAGGTCAGTCTGAAGAACCTAAATTTATGCTGACTTCAGACTTAACCTGGAACTGAATTCTACGTTATCTGCATAACTGGAATAACCCATTCCTTTAGCTCGAGTAAAATCATAACAAACAAACATGTACTGGAATTGTCCATGGCATTCGTAACAATCGGCTTCCTCAAAACAGCGCACCGACAAGCCAGATTTGATGCTAGCCCGTGACACTGTAAGTGGAGGTCTAGAAGGAGGTCCTGACGACAGAGAACTTACCACTGGGGGAGATGTGAGAAGCCAAGTCTGTGGGTCTGGTGCGGCTCTCTGGCCTGCTCCGGAAAGCCTGCGGTGGGAGGACGCTGGCATCGGGAGCATTTGAGCAGGGGATTCCTGGGGTCCCGTCCCGGGGCGGGGGAAGTCCTATCACTGTTCAGAGTGCGCACCGCGGCAGCTCGCGTGGCCGGCCACGCCAACAGATGAAGGTTGGGGTCCCCTACAGCAGCCAAGACACAAACTAGAGTAGGAGGTGCTGGCAGAAGGCGAAGGGAGCCACCTGAATCCCACAAATATGAAAGAGCCACCTGCAAACCTCCACTAGGAAATACTAAATACTAACGGCAAGACAAGAAGAACACCCTGCCCCGCGAGGTCAAGTGCGAGCCAGGGAAACAGGCCGATGGAGTGCGGGTGTGAGCACCAGACGGGGGCCGGCTCCGCCTCCGCGCGGCGGAGCAAGGCCACCGGCCTGCGGTCTCACCGCGTGATCGACGCAGCACGGCGAGGCCTGCTCCCGGCACGGACGTGAACGTGGAGTAACGACCGCCCGGCAGAGACAGACGGGAGTTCTCACCGTGAAGAGAACAACAAGCCTTTCCAGCCCTCATGCACCTAATGCTCCAACGAGAAATGAAAAACATGTACAGTTTTAGATCACCGCTAACATGTCTCTGCTCTTTAAAGCCCAAGATAAAGAAATGTATCCTACATGTCGGAGACAGGCCAAAGCCCAAACTCGGTTTGATCAGATACAAAAAAGACAAGACCTGAGAATCGCAAAACCCCAGCAAGTTTCCTATTTGAGTGCAGAACCACTGGGGCCCAGACCTGCCACTCCGATTTCGGGTCTAGGAACCCTAACGAGTATTCTACAGCGAGGTATTATTTTGATGGTGATGGAGGAGCTAAGTGGAAAGGCAACGCCGACATTAGGACAGCGTGAACTACGTCACTTCCTCGTACGTTACGTCACTTCCTCGTACGTAAAGTGACCACACAGTTAGTTTCCGAAGCTGTCATGCTCCTGATATGACAACAGTAAGCTGGGTGTTCAGCTGAGTGAGTTTTTTAATTTTCAGGGGCCGCCCCCAGTTCCATCGTTCAGAAAGGTCTACTCTGTCAAGAATGTGGGGGCGCCTGGGTGGCTCAGTGGGTTAAAGCCTCTGCCTTCGGCTCAGGTCCTGATCTCAGGGTCCTGGGATCGAGCCCCATCAGGCTCTCTGCTCAGCGGGGAGCCTGCTTCCTCCTCTCTCTCTGCCTGCCTCTCTGCCTCCTTGTGATCGCTGTCAAATAAATAAATAAAGTCTTAAAAAAAAAATGTGAATAGGGCAACAGGTAGCCACATTAAAAAAAAGTCTAATTCTTCAAAATTTGGAAAAATGAAGGCCTGGAACATACGCCAAGTTTATAAAATGATCACCTCTACCCAGAAATAGGGACTTGCTCTCCAGCATCCGAGAACACGGAGCCAGGCGGACGAGAGGGAGGACTCTCGGGCAGCCCAGAGGATGACGGAGAGCAGCCACATGGTCTGAACTGGCATCCGCCGCCACGACCTCACGGAAGAAAACAGAGCCGTTGACAGAGCAGCTGAAAGGCTCAAGCTGTGGAGGAGAATTTCCAACACACACTCAAAGCCTTCACTTTCCATTCAGAAACAGAACACCAGACCGGACTTAGGTCAGAACAGCAATTGGCTGTTTTCCCAAGGAAATACAGCCTCAGAGAAAAACAAGCACCGACCGGTGCTGACCTCCAGGGACTCTGGGGACGGCCCGCCTTTGGGTGGGGGCGTGTGCTGGGACCTGGGACAGGAAGGCAAGGTTCCCCCGACCGTTGAACACTCGCACACGTGAGTTTCAGACTTCAAAACTCAACAGAAGGACTGGGGCCAGCCCACACCATGTGTGCCCCGCATGCGGACGGAGCAGGCAAGGAACACTCATGGCTCAGACCGGACAGACGCTGGTCCGCACACACCTTGGCGGGACGAGAAGTCAGGAGCGATCCAAAAGGGAGATCGAGACATTCTAGAAGACAAAGGAGCAGAATCTGGGACATAAGATGACTGTGGAACAATTCATTAGGAGCTAATAATTTTGGCACTGTCCCTACAGGATTATCAGAAACAGGGACGCATGCTATCTTCTCTCTGCTCCCAGTAAGCTACAGACTTCCAGCTACATGAGCAGACCCTTGAACAAGGAGGGGCTGGGGGGTACCAACCCCTGTGCAGCTGCAAACCCACCTGTAGCTTCTGACTCCCCAAAACTTTACCACTGAGAGCCTACTGTCATCCAGAACATGTACTGATAGGATAGTGTTGATGAACATATTTTATACATTATACGTATTATATACTATATACTTACAATAAAGTAAGCCAGAGAAAAGAAATTGTTATTAAGGAAATCACAAGGAAAATAGATTTACAGTATGTACTGCATTTATAAAAAAAAAAATCCACACGTGAAAGGACGTGCACAGTTCAGGCCCCCATTGTTCAAGGGTCAACCGTATATTCCTTCCCTTATCACTGAGCACTGAATGTACACGACATAGGGTTCACGCTCTTCTCCTGCCAAAGGCTTTCCGAACACCCGATTCGGTCACATACCAACAGGCCTCCCCACTTACGTACTGTCACCCTCCCATCGTCTACCCGGCCAAACATCCGAGCCCCGAATTCTGCTCTGCTTACACTGTGGAGCGCACGCTAAGACACTGCCCGGACAGGAGCACTGGGGCACGCTGATCCCGAGGCGGGAGCTTCCCCTTCGGAGGGCTACATGCTACCGACCGCTGGCTCTCCGGGACACACCTGCTCACAGCCACTCAGGTCTGTCCTCTCGGCCTCAAGGCGGCCACGGACGATACGGAGCAATAGAGCAAGCCTAAGTTCTAGGGAAATTTCATTCGTGGACATGAACATAAGAATTTCATGTAATTTTAACTTGTCAGAAAATAATTATTCTTTTGATTTTTGTTCAACCACTGAAAGGTACAGATCATTCTTAGTTTACGCACCACACACAAACCATCAGCAGACGGGATCCGCTGAGTAACACGTGACCGGAAGATGGTCCTGCTAACCGGTCCTCTCTTTCTATGAAACGTAGCTGTCCACGGGCTCCTCAAAGCTCTCTTTCTAGAAATCTTCTGTACTACACAATTCAGACAAACAACTTTTAAAAGCTGCCGAATCAGTTAAATCACAGAATGTTAAGTACCAAGAAAAACGTCCAGAGGGAAAGTACAAGCCACTGAGAGCACACGAAAGCAGCTGGACAGTCGTCCCTATTCCACTTGTGTGTTTTCTGTTAAAAGTTCTGGTGTCGGGGCGCCTGGGCGGCTCAGTGGGTTAAGCCTCTGCCTTCGGCTCAGGTCATGATCTCAGGGTCCTGGGATCGAGCCCCACATCGGGCTCTCTGCTCAGCAGGGAGCCTGCTTCCCCCCTTCCCCTGCCTGCCTCTCTGCTTACTTGTGATCTCTGTCTCTGTCAAAAAAAAAAAAAAAAAAAAAAGTTCTGGTGTCTTACGATCAGGCCACGTGCTTACGATGAGGGACGTAAATGGCCTTCACCAGCCGGACTCCCTCAAGCCACCTTTTCACAGCTCAATAAGCAGAGGGGACTCTCAAACATGCCTCAGAGTCTGAAAATCACGTGGGTTTCCACATCAAGGACTAGAATAAGGAATCATTAAATGGAATCGTTCTCAAAACCTGGACTTTTTAACGAGAGGCTCAGCTCTCTCGATCTCTTTTCCAGCTCGTTCCAGAGTGCTTCAATTTTGTTGCTGTAAGAGCTGAAACCGTGACCCTGGTGACAACGTACCATCAATTTATCAAGCCAAACTTTGGTGTTCCAAGTTGAAACAGAAATGAAAACTCAGCTCCCTCCCTTGTCTTCCTGACAGTCAGAGGCTGGGACTGCGACCTGGACGGGGGCAGGACGGCTCCCCATCCCCGTGCCGCGCTAGGTCTGGAACCGTACTTTTTTACTTCATTCATTTTAGAGAGAGGAAGACAGAGTGTGCGCAAGCAGGGGGAGGGACAGGAGAGAGAGAAAATCCCAAGCAGACCCCCCGCCCCCCCACCGCTGGCTGAGTGAGGAGCCTGCGTGGGGCTCAGGGTTCCATCTCACAACCTGAGCTGAAACCAAGAGCCTGGCCACTCACCCGACCGTGCCAGCCCCGCACAGCGCTTTTCACCCTACGGTGTGCACGGGCCCGTGGGGCACGGCTGCGCCGCACTCGCCGCTGAGCGCTCCTCTCAAGGCCAGGTGTGGGGCTGGGGTCAGTCTCAACTAGTCTACACACGCTAGTCCAAAGGGAACATTCTAAAGTACCTGTAAGAAATTATTCAGAAATACTCTCAAAACCTATACTTCACATGGAAACCGGGGTAGTAATGGCAGCATACACATTGTTTTTAGCCAAATCTTTTTAAAAAGCATATGGTTTTGAATTTCGCATCTTCGGTGTGATGCACTTGGGTGAACGCAGACTACGTGTGATCCGAAATTCACCTCTGTCCATTTTGGAAGACGAGGACCCCGTGGACGCGCCGTGAGGTCGTTTCTAAAAGCTCTCCATTCACCCGCTCTGATATCCAGATGAAAAATCTTTGAAACTGGGCAGAGATTTTAAAAATTAGACATCGATCACCTTGATATTCAAAGTGGGTCTAGTGTGTTGAATTTCCAAAGTCAACGGTCTTAAAGAAAAAAAAAAAAAAAAAGAGTTGATAGGATCAAAATTTCTGGGGGGTTGGGGGTGGGGTCACTCTGCCGCAGCGCCGGCACCTGTGGGTTGAAGCTCCTGGGACACTCACAGAGACTATGAAAGTGATCTCAGAGCAAGCCACCCATGTCCTCCCGGGGAGCCTAGCACTGTCCCCGAAGCGCAGTGTGGAAACACGGAAGACACGGAAAAATCGTCACTGTGAGTTCAATCTTCCGTCTTCTGCTGCGTAACTGGCAAAGAAACTGTTACTTTTTTAAGCTTTACTGACTAACGCGCAAATGCTGAGATACTGTGCTTTCTGCAGTGACGTTCTGAACAGACAATTCAAGTGTCTTGTACTGAGGGGCCCTCCCCTAGAGCACCTGGAGACAAATGTCCCCCGGTGGCCAGCTAGTCCTTCATTCTCCACTTACAGTGTCACGCCCCTGGAAGAGACGAGAAGCCGTTCCAGTAGGAACAGTTTTTCCTTTAATTTGAGAAACCACGGATCAGGCAATCAGCGAAACATCACGTGTAGCATCTGAGCCGTCACATCTCCTTCAGGATGCTTTCTTTTTGTTAATGCCATGGGACAATGAAAAGATAGCCACAATTTTTCTATAAATAGTATTTCTGTTAAAATTCTGATCTCAACTTAACTATTGTTAGTTACAAATAAAAGGTAGGTATCATAAATTAGGGTAAGCAAAGCATGCAAATCTAGACTCTATATCTGAATTCCTAGATTAGCATTAAAACCAATCACCGCAACAAATACCTCAACCGTGTGGAGAGAGGAAGCCATACTGAGCACTCAATGCCACAACCGTAAGGTTTTCGGAGAAGCACCTGTGGCAGTTCTCAGCGGTTTCTATATGGAATGCTCCCCCTTTCTAGGATTACTTGAAAAAATCAAGTCAATTCGAATTACGTAGCTGTAAGACATTGACACGTGTAGGTTTTACAGATTCAGAATCTTCTCTGTGATTTAAAACGGGCAATGGTTCATGACACAGGACACTGAAATAATAAGGGATCACATATTCGCAGGCAACATTTGGATTAAAAGTACATAGACACACACGGGGTGCAGAGGCGCGGTCGGTGCGCGGGGCCGCTGTGGCTCCACGCCGCTGCCTTTCCACCTGCAGCCACTTCCGGCAGGAAGCCCATTTAAATATGTCAATATTTCAACACAATTTTCACAGTATGGACTAAAAACCATTCACTCACGATTCTGGGTACTTTAAAATTTGGTATGCTGAATCTCAAATACATTAGTAACTATTCCTAGATGAAAATAAGCAAATACATGGAATCGTTAAAAAAAAAAAAAGATAAAAAATCACTAAATGTCCATTTGTACAGACAACATTAGCAAACATCTAAAATTTCTTCAGTAAAAGAAAAACATGTATTTTTAACCCTTTGGTATCCAAACTCTTAAATTACGAAGACTTTAAGTACAGTCTTCAGATAACAAGAGAAAGAAACTATTTTTTAAAGTATTTACCTGAATACATTTGGTGCCAAGTTTTCATTTCAAGGTCAACATCGCTGAGGGCAGTTTTACTCTGCAAGTGAACCCCAATCATGTTTGCATACGTTAAACAGAGGAAGAGTGTCATTTCAGGGGGGCTGATAAAATGCTTCACGTGCTCCCACGATAATTTAGCGGAGGAAAAAGAGATTTGGAAATCACTGGCTCCTTGAAAGCACCGTTTAGAAAAGCAGCAATTAAACAATTATCCGAGTCCATGTTACTCAAGGTGTTATGAAATGAATCAAAACTCCACACACATTAACAGCTCCAGGGGCGCCGGGTGGGCGCAAAGTGCTTCAGAGCTGTCTGGGGAAGCCCCTCCTGCCCCAGGCCAGCAGCTTCTCCGGCACAAGGGGAAGAGCCAGGCACCAGCAAGACGGGACACGTCTGCCGGAGTGACACCGAGGTAAGGGAGCCAAGTCTGGGGGAGGAGGGTGCCCCAAAGTCAGAAACCCCAAAGTCAGAAACCAGTTCAGAGTTACAGTTCCAATAAAACCCACAGGCTATTATTCTTAGGGGCAAATACGGGAACCAATGAAAAGAAACCACAAGTTCCAAACACGAGTGAAGAAACGGCTACCACAGGGAGCGTGCGCTACATCTGGCCTGGGGCAGGAGCTACAAACAAATTGCCCAGGGGACATGACATGTGCTCGAGGCAGCCAATGCCCTAAAGGGAGTTCTGCCTCCAGAGGGCTCTCTGGGTAAGCGCACGGGGCTGGATCGTAAACACGGGGCTGGATCGTAAACGTGACCACCAATGATAAACCAATTTAAACCTATTCAATTTCCATTGAGAATGGCTCAAAGTTCGGTAGTGTAGATGTTTTTGCGACATTAAAACAAAATCCATTAAAATCACATTTTAGACCTTTGTGACTCCAGCCAACTGTGCCTGTTTTCTAAATTGGGCAAGAAGGATGCTTCCAGAGCGAGTCACTGAACTGGCTTACGTCAGGCTACCAATGCTTCTCCATTATCTGATGACCGGTGGAGCTGTCCGCGGGGTCAGACCAGTTCAGCTGGAATGCAGTAGCCGCCCATCTGAAGAGCCGGTCGCCATGGAACCGGTGGCTTCCACGGAAACGCTCTCCTATGGGCTGCTCCGAGACTCTGCCACGACCTCACTCAACAGCAGCACCCGTGTGGCGGGGCACGAAACAGGCCCGCAAATCTGTCTGAAACCCCAGCCAACGGTGGTTTCACTCTAAATCCCACTGGTCCCTGTATTTCTACTCAGAGGCATAAAAAAGGCAATTTCAATACCTCGTTGATACGGAAACATTCACTTAACCATCAAGAAAACAGAGTAACCGAAATTAATTGATGCCCAGATACTGAGAATAAAGATAATCTGAGGCTTGGAATCTACAGTTTACCATGTCAGTACTTGGACGGTCTTAATTATCAGCAGACAAACAGCAAGTCTTCTTGCTCTCTCCAAAATCACACAGGCAGATTCTTACACTGCTACTCATTTAATCATCAAAAAGAAAGAAGAGGCAATGGTGGTTTACAGGTTAGCCTGTGCCTCTCCTCTGATGCAAACCCCTGAGAGGGGACAGCACTCGGCAGTGGCTGCAGGGACAGACGGAACCGTCACACGAGCCAAATGTAGGACGGGGACAACCTCACTTTCAAGAACTTGAAAGGTGCCGGCCATGCTTGAAAAGCACGAGAATGACAAGAGTCTGCAGAGCTTCCGGAAGTTTAAAGTATGCAAACCCTGAACCCGGTCACAGAAGTACCACTCCATCCTACGGAGCTTTACTGTGGGATGTCAACAATGGCAAACGACAATGACCATCGTAGAAGCCAGAAACAAAACCTCACGAGAAAAAGAAAACTTGGCACCAAAACTCGAGATGTAAAATAAGAGAAGGAAAAAAAAAAACTCCATCAACATACTCACGTGTGGTGCTAGAAAATGTTACACACGGTGGCCAGCGGCTGACATGCCTCACCGTACAGATGCGGCCTCTATCGACAAGTGAGTCACACAACAAACCACTCTAGCCACAGACGTGGGGCACGCTTGCCCTCATCATTATCTACCCAGTGACCAAAAAAGCAGCAACTTAAGATTTTGGCCACTTTATGAAGCTGATACATTAAAAAAAAAAAAAAAAGTAGGAATTAATAACAAAATTAATAATCACCACCAAGTGTGACAAAATACTGATAGGAGACAGCTTTCGATTTCTTCACAGGAAAAGGAAAGGTTCCCATTACAGCGTGGAATATGAAGAATTAATAATCTGGCCCATTGTGAACTGGAAAAAACATACATCACTTTAGGTAAGTAAATCAACACCGCGCCCCTCGGTCGTCTTAAGGCACGAAACGGAAGAAAACAACGCGGCCTTGTATTCGCTGGGGCGGTTCTGCACCGCGTGGCCAGTACAAGCAGGACAGCTCGAAGTATCGTAATTTGAGGGACTCAACTGTCACCTGTAGGTAGGCTGAAAGTGTTAAACTATAGAAATGTACAGAACAGACATCAAAAAGCAATTTACAAATTAGCTTCCCAGCAAAACTGGCGATTTCTCCAGATGTTAAAACGAAGGAACCACTAAGCAAGCACACGTACAGTTGATTCTTTGTGCTCTGTCTCCAGGCCAAAGACTGAGAATTTAAAGAATCGCTTTTGGCTAGGTGGCTCAGGCTAAATATTTCTTCTAAAAAGCATCTGAAGTTCAGGCAATGGAGATCACCACAGTGCAGGGTCTCGAGGGAGTGGCTCTCATAGGGAGAAGGAAAACCAGCCCGGCACTCGAGGCCAGGCTCAGTCACACTTGGTGGGAAAGAGACACTCGAGGGTCCTGTAACCAAGGACAGAACTGTAAATAAAAGGTTCTTATTTTAGAAAGACACCTATTAAAAAAAGGATATAGAGATAAATATTTATCGGCTCAAAGCATTAAGCTAGTCATTGAAATGAAGAGAGCTAATATGTAGTAGTAAAATGTTCAGGATCAATTAGACGACTGTTTAGAAAAATAAGTCATTAAAAAGGTCCATTTCTAATTATTATTTCAACAAATGACAAGCTAATTATTGATCTTATAGGACTCTGTATTTCATAATCAAAGCTTGTTATTAAAATTAAAGATCTGAGTTTTTTATTTAAATGCAGTTAAAGAAAATGCACATATAACTTCACTTTGAAGCAATCCATTGAGAGTCGTCTCAAATTGCATAATACATATTCGTATGATCCAGCGTTCTTACATTACCTGAAGTCAGAGCTATACGAAATCATGAGGTGCCCTGCAATGTAACAGTTAACACAGGGCGTACTTACAGGACCAGATTTCTACGGAAATAAAAGATCCAAGCCCAAACTAATGACTGAACGATACAATACTTAAATGAAACAGAAGCTAAGATCCTAGGAGCCGAAGACAGCCCCCGGCATTAAGCGTGGCATTAGTTAAGCTACATGGTTTGCTACCCAGGATCCGTTTTCAACAAATCTGTTCTAACACAAAGTCAAAACAATGAAGTGGAAACCAAAGGGTTAAACTAGGTTAGTTCTGTGGGTTTACTTCTCCCAAAGTCTAGATTTTCACATTTCCAATTAGAACAGCGTGGGGTCTGTAATTAATCTTTAAGAAATATTCAAGACACTCAAAACAGAAAAGCTGACATCATAGTTACTCAGGTTATCACAGCTCTAGACCTTACATCAACATTTAAGGGTAAAAACCGCATCCATTGTGTTAATGCCGTGAACTGCGGGAGAAAAATGTTTACAATATCAATCTTTCAGATCAAGTTAATACAAATGAATTTAACACCTAAAATAAACGTTTAATGCCATGGCTGGCTAACGACTTCTGCACATAAGCCCACATCTTTAAACTCATGCACTGAAACATTAACACTTTCCATCAAGCCACGCAGAACTAGCTCACGTAAACTGGATAAAACAAGACTATAATAATGTCCCCGGCCTCAAGGGCTCAGAGGGAGTCTGAAGTCTCTAACGTATAGGGCTCTGTTTTATCTGTTTTACAAGTAGTGATAAATCATTTAGAGGCTAATAGGCTCTAAACCATAAGGTTCTCACATCTGCTAAGAGATGAGAAAATCGCAACTTAGCAGAGCTAACTGTCTGCCAGGGCTGGGCCAGAGAGGCCCGGCAAGATGTTCTAATCCAATGCAAGGGCCTCACTGCGAAATGAACACTGGCAAGATAAGTCTGACGACTTGCCCGTGGTGACACAACTAGTTAGTGGCCGAGTCAACAATGCCAGGTTCCGACGTACTTAGCTCACTGCTCTCTCCGTCGTCGCACGCTGTCGCGGCAACAAGCCTGGGGTGCTGAGAAGCAGCTCCCCCCGCCAGCCGTCAGCCCGCACCAGAGCCTGCACCCGCACCAGCGGACCTACCATGCGGGGCTGTCCCGCTAACGGAGACACCGGGAGGGCCGCCGCTTGCTCAGGACGAGCCGCCTATGAGCGCAGCGCCCCGACCGCGTCTCTGCGGGACGGATACGCGAAGGCACTTACTCGATGTGGGCCCCATTGGCCACCAGGGCACTGACGCAGTCCAGGCTCCCGGAGCGGGCCGCCTTGTGAATGGGGGTCTCGCCCTCACAGTCCTGCAAGAACAGAAGGACACACGGCATCAGATCCAACAGGAGTCGGACGTTTTCAGGGAAGATAAGGACACAGACCGAGCACCTCATCCGTCCTGGAGACCAAACACCATGCAAGTCAGATCTGACGTGGCCAGAGACACGGGGCGGAAAATCAAAGTCGGACCTGGAAGGGGCGCGTTCTCCTGAGTCCCTGCATCAAGACCAGAGAATCATGGGGCCTCTCTAGCGGGGACAGCACGGACACGCCACAGGGACGGCGGGAAATCATCTTATGGTGGATCTCAGCACAAATGAGTCGTATATAAAACCCAGAACAATGATCGTCTAACAGGTTAAAAAAGGGAACCGAGGCCAAGGACCAGCACACACTATCCAGTGTCTGGTCTACACACGGAGTGCCCCCTGCACCTCGAGTCCTAATTACGCCTACAATTTAGACAAGGAGGGTTGAGGTCAAAGAACCACGAATAGGAGGAAGAGGACTTGGGGCCACACACAGCCAACTTCACCCAGAGACCCCAAGGAAGGCCGCAGCAAGGCAGGACTCACGCTTCGGAACACCGCCGGAGAAGGCAGGGAAGGCGAGCGGCGCTGGGAAGGACAGTGAAGGTGAGTTAGATGGCGCTGTATGAGCGGGACAACGTCCGAAACGCGCTGCCGTTCACAGGCGCTCCGGTTTGTAAGCGGGAGAGGGACGCAGCCATCAAGGAGGAAGTCGTTTCTGTCGGGAACACGGAGGCAGGACCTCCCACCTGGCCCCGCAGCACCGCTCCCGAGTCATCACACCTCCCGGTCCCTGGAAGGTGAGCCTGGCAGCAGAGCAGCCCCCCCGCTGCCCCATGACAAAGTGGGGGGGGCGCACCGCGCATGGCACGAGGACAGTTCACCCATCAACCAGCACACAGCCGAGCCCCTTGCCCTGCGCACCCGAGCTCACGGGCAGGTCCCAGGGAGCCAGCCCAGCAGAAGCGTGCTCGCCGCCTCTCGGGCAGCACGGAACCTCAGACAGTCCAGCGCGCCTGGACAGAAAGGTGTGAGCCCGACGGGATGTGCACTCAGAGTAAGAATGAACCCGTTTCTGAAGAAAGAAACAGAATTCCACGTGGCTACCCGGGGAGCCATCCAATGAATGAACTCAGATTCTCTTTTTTTAAAAGGCTTATTTATTTATTTATTAGAGGGGGCGGTGAAAGCGAGAGAGCAGGAGCAGGGAGAGGGGCAGAGGGAGAAACAGCTGCCCCGTGGAGCAAGAAGCTGATGCGGGACCCGATCCTGGGACCCTGGGATCATGACCTGAGCCGAAGGCAGACGCTCAACTGACTGAGCCCCCAGGCGCCCCTCAGCTTCTTAACAAAGCAAAAACCTACCCCATCCTCCCAAACAGGTGCGGAGGGGACAGGAGGAATGTAATCAGGACAAGTACACTTGAACCTGAGAACTGCCAGGAGGAGTGCGGAGGACACTGACGGGAGGCGGCAGAGCCTCTGATGTCTCCCACCCCCAGAAACAGAAAAGGGTTTTAAAGCTATCTTTAGAGCAGGAGAGGAATGTCAAAGTCTCTCTATCACTTCAACAAGACGGTGGGACAGTAACAGGACAGAGGAGGAAACCAAACTGCTCCTGCGCGCCCTCCAAGAACACCCTCAAGCCGGGAGGGGAGGGACAAGCACCAAAGAACACGCGGCCCAGACGGCGAGACCAGGAGCCTTTTTAATTACTCACGTCTCCAGCCCAGACAAGTCACATTCCAAAAATACCAACTACTTTGGAGTGTGTTTCCAGAACTACTATGGGCAAACTGAGTAACAGGGGAAAGTGGGAGCTGCGCCACGAGTCTGAAGACGGGCAGGTCACCTTGAACAGCGGTTACAGAAAAGTCGACTTCTAATCTGGCTACAAGAAGCTAGAGGAGGGACCAGTGTCACCAAAACCCTAGAATTCTAGAATGGGAGTAAAGAGACGGTGGCCTGTATTCCTTGCAGGACTGTGGCCCGTGGGTCGTGGCCACAGACCCACTGAGAATAAATCTCCTGGAGACGGACTTCCTTTCTCTGGGGGTAAATGGAGGCTCCAGACGACCCCTCGCGCCAAGTGTGGAGGCCGCAAACACAATCTCTTTCAGACCTGGGAACAATGAACTGATGACGGTAACCACTGGGCCAGAAGATGGACAGGAAGGTGGGTGGGAACTAAAGCAGGAGAAGAAATGCCAGGGCAGGTCCAGAAAAACAGCACGCACGGAGATGGGTTTAGGAAATCCTGGATCTAGTTCTGGAACAGGCTGTGTGGGAGACAAGAAACCGTCCACCTCAGGCTGAGTCAACACTGGGGGAGGGGGAGCTAACACAAGGGCTGCTGTGACCTCCGAGGTCAGTGGGGGCCTGTCCCAGCAGGCCCGCTGCCACGCCCCACACAAGGTGACAGCTGACGTGCAAACCCCAGCCGAGACCCTGTCGGCAGTCGTGCCCGGACGCCCAGTGACCCCGGGTGACAGCCTCGGATGCCAGAGGGCTTGGGGGTGCTGGGAGGGGTGGGGTCTGGGGACTCCTGTGCCGGGAGCAGAGCGCAGAGGGCCCCACATGGGACCACCTAGAGTGGCAGCCCCTAGTCCAGAGCAGAGACTGGGCTGCTGTCCCAGGGCACGAGAGAAAAAGCTTCTAGATTTAGATGCTCTGAAAGGCAGAACCACCAGAGGGGAACCTGGGGGGCTCAGGAGGTGAAGTGTCTGCCTCGGGCTCAGGTCCTAATCTCAGGGTCCTGGGGGAGCCCCGTGCGCCCTGGGCTCAGCGGGGAATCACTTCTCCCTCTGCTCCCCATCCCTCTCCGCACCTGCTCATATTCTCTCTCAAATAAATAAATAAATAAAATCTTTAAAAAAAAAAAAAAACCAACAGAATATTCTAAAGGTCCATATCATCTATCCCCACCATTTGTGGACTATCCCTACTTAATTAACAAGGACACTGAGCGCAAGGACTTGCCCCAGGCCAGGGAGCAGCGCCAAGTGAGCACGGCACCCTCGGGGCCCCAGGGTGCTCTGCCAGGAGGACGGGGCAGGGAGGAGGCAGCGTCAGGAAAGGGCAGGTGGGGACAGGCTGAGAGCCCGCAGCCCCTGAACACACAGATCACAGGGACATGTGCTTAGCCCTGCCCCGTAGGTGGCCGCTGAGTACCGGGGGGGAGGGGGCTGGTCACCACCAGCAAGGGGTGAATCTTGCGAAAGACAGCGAAGCAGAGAGGAAACACACGCTGTGCTGCACAGGGCAGGCCCCTGAGGGTTACTGACAGGAAAGGCAAACGCAGACAGGTGAGAGGGAACGAGGAAAGTGGGTGGGACGGCCTGAAGGCGGCCCTGCAGAGCCGCAGGCACAAGCCCCTCCGCAAGTCCACCCTCGGGGCGAGGTCTCCGCTGGGACCCCCGGCCACACATTCCCGAGTCAGCTACACTCACACACGTGTCCATACAAGTCCCCAGGAAGCGAAACTCTCTCCTTGAGGTTTTTTCGAGGAAGTGAAAGCAACGGTGACACGCCCCGCGAGAAGCTGGCGCACGCCCGGGCGCGCACACGTCCACGCCAGGAGCCGCCGTGCTAACCGAGGCAGGCAGACGGTGGCCCGACCCCTCTGCCAGCATCCGGGCGTCTCACGGCGGCGTGTGCAAGGGAAGCCGAGCCGCTACGTGGGCAGGGGAGCCAGGAAATCTGGGCTCCGGGCCAGACACCTTCAGTCACCAGCAGGGACGTGGGCAAACCACTTCGGGTCGCCGTGGGTCTCGCTACGTCACGGAACGGGCCAAAGGGCTCTCAGAGTAGAGAGCACGGCTGCGGAAGGGCCTCCTGGCCACCAGTGACTCCGTACACACAAATCCCAGCTAGCCCGGAGGTTAACGTATCAAACTCTAATTAGGGCCTCCATTTAAAACTCAACACCATGTCATTATAACTGGAAACAGAAAATAAAGACCACATTAGTCCTCGGCACGCCCTTACCGGTTTGTTAATGCTGGCTCCGGCTTGGATCAACCAGAGGAGGCACTGGGGGTGTCCCCCGAAAGCAGCGATGTGGGCAGGGGTCTGTGCATAGCGCGTCGTGGAAACGTCCAGCGTGGCCCCGGCTCTAACCAACTGGATCAGGCACTCCAGCTGCGAAAACGGCAGGAGGGGGACGACACGTGTCAATGTCGTACACTTGCACATGCTACCCCAACAGTTTCAAGTCTATGATGAAGACAAGTGGCATTTTTTGTTACCCGGCATTTTCTCTGCTTAAGGGAACAACAGAAGTCATTCCTTCCCAATACAAATTTTAAAAAAGCATTAAGAAAAAATATTTTTCCTTATTCTGGTTAAAAAAAAAAAATTGGTACACAGGAATAGAGAGTCAAAAACACTGATGCCACAGATGTTTTAAATATTCTGTTTTTCCTACAACTGAAAAAATCAAAGATTGAAATTCCAAGACTTCCATCAAATCTGGGTCTTGGAGCACCTGGGTGGCTCAGTGGGTTAAGCCTCTGCCTTCAGCTCAGGTCATGGTCCCAGGGTCCTGGGATCGAGCCCCGCATCGGCTCTCTGGTCAGCGGGGAGCCTGCTTCCACCCCCCCCCCCCCCCCTCCCCCCCCCCTTGTGTCCTCTTCAAAAAAAAAAAAAAAAAAGAAAAAAAAAAAAAAAAAAACTACCAAAAACTGGGTCCTGCCACTTTCATGCGCCCTGCCACAAGACAAAACCAGTACCGGTCATTAAAAGCGGTGCAGCCGCAGTGAACACCACAGTGAAAGCCCATTCTCGCCCGTACACAAGGGCGCTCTGCACACCTTTACACATGCCACATTCAAGGAGAGTTCGGCCGAGGCCCATCCTCCAGTCCCCATGTGCAGAGCGAGGGTGCACGGCCCCCCACCCTTGGCCCTGAACACCCCCTGCCTGGAAAGGAAAAGGCCTACAGCACATCTGAGCTGTGGCTGCCCAGGGGACTGAGGGGACCATGCATGTGGTAAGATGACAGTTTGGAGCCAGGCACGGATGATAAGCCGGCCTCCGGCTGGAGGAGCTCTGCACACGCCACAAGTGCCCACAGCAAGCCAGAAGCTGTCCCACGAGACCCGCTGTCCACAGACTGACACTGCTCTGCCCACACGTCCTGAGATGGCACTGAGCCCATTTCCCCCCGGGGCACGGAGCAGTGGGAAAGCTCCAGGGCCAACAATCCTCTCCCAGAGGACAGAGCTTGGAGGAAGAACAGTCACACCCAATGTCACCCTGCACGTCTTGTCCTTTCCACAATTCCAGCCTTTCCTTGCAAGGGATAGGTCACCGCCATCCGCGTTTGCGGGAGACGTACTCTGGTGCCAGGAGCACGCAGGTTCAACACCATCTCCGGCTTCAGGAACTAGGAGGGAATCTGGGAGGGATGGCTGATAAGGAGACACACCTTCTGTCGCCATTCCTCCCGTACTGGGGGGCAGTAAAAGTGCCCATGGTAATGACAAGGCCAATGGTTTCAAGTCCAAAATAAATGAAGCGGGATCAAAATCAGCGGGCTTGCCAAAAGCTGGTACTTACGAAGAGCCAGCAAGAGCTCCCCAGACCTCGATCTGGGGCTTGCTTTAGGAAACTGGGGGAGACACTGCTCCACAGGACAGCTTGGAACAGCCAGTGTGATCAGAGACTAAATAATGCCTCCTTCCCGTAAAGGGTCAGGCGAGGTGCGGCCGGCGCATTCCAGGAAAGCCAGCCTGAAAGATGGGAACGTTCATGAAGGGCTACATGCCAGCTTGGCTCCCGCCCAGGCCCCAGCACAGGGCAAGCCTCGCGCAGGTACAAACAGGGGAGCCGGGCCCCGGGTGGGAGGGGCCTCCCGAGACCCTGGAGCCCCACTCCCGGCCCAATCCCGAACAGCCTCTGGGGACATCTGGTGCCCACGGCTGACCTGGTGACCCACAGAAATATACCTGCCACCTTGAATTCGGGGGGTTCGCCTTACTGTTGCACCGCACCCAGCAAGCGCGTTTTTGAGCCGGTTCCGGCTCCAACCCGGCGGGACCCGCAGGCACCCCAGGCCGCTAACACGCAGAGGGGACACTGCAGTGAGGCTGCGAGCGCCGAACCGCATCGTCCTACCGCACCGCGTCGCGCTCCAAGGGAGGACCGAAGGCAACGTGCCGGCCTGCCTGTCGGGAGGCTGTCGGCGCGCAGCACGCGAGACCGCAGATGCTGAGTCGCCCCGACCTCAGGGACGAACACCCCGCCTCGGGGGGCTGGGGGGGGGTCAGGCTGCGGGTCTCGCGGCCCCGGAGCGCACGCGTCCCGAGACACGCGGCGGCCAGGCAGCCCCTTCCTGCGCGCGCCGCGGCCGCACAGTCCCCCAGGGCGAGCACTGCTCTCGGATCTTGCCGGTGCCGCGGCCGCACGGTCCCCCCGGGCGAGCACTGCTCTCGGAGCCGCGGGGGCCGCTAGGAACGGCCGCCCGAGGAGGACGGCGCTCCAGAAGCCCGTCGGCCCCGGACTCCAGCACTCCTCAGACGCGGTGGCCTGCACGGGGGGGCCGCCCGACTCCGGCCACGGCCGCTCCCCCGCCCGCAGCGCCCGGCCTCGCAGCCGCCGCCGCCCCAAGAGCCAGGCCGCCGCAGGCGCCAACTGCCTCCGCCAGGGGCGGCGGTTTGAAACTTGCGCCGCCGCACATGCGCCCCGGGGCTCCTCGGGGCGCCGTCGCCGCGAGGCCCGCTTCCGCCCCGCGCTCCCGGCACGCCCCGCGCCCGCCCCCGCGGGACCCCCAGCCGTCCGCGCCGCGGCACATGCGCCCCGAACCCCTCGCTGGGGGCGCCAGGGCCGCCGACCCCGCTTCCGCCCCGCGCTCCCGGCAGTCCCCGCGCCCCCCGTGCCTCGGCCCCCGCCCTCCGCGGCCCACCACGGGAAAGCCGCGGAAAATGGCGCCTTAAAGCGCCCGCGCCCACCTTGCCGAAGTGCGCGGCCCAGTGCACGGGCGTCCAGCCGTAGAAGGAGTCCTCGGCGGCCAGGTGGGCGCGCGGCGTCTGCTGCAACAGCGAGCAGAGCGCGGCAAGGTCCCCGTCGCGGCAGGCGCGGTGCAGCGGGAAGCGGAGCGACAGCAGCTCCTCGCTGGAGAAGCCCGCCTCCACGCCTGCGCCCGTTCCTGCCGTCGACATGGTCCGCCACCGGAGAGCTCGGGCTACCCGACCGAGAGGGAGAGGACGCGCGGCGAGCACCCGAGAAGCCACCTCCGGAGCACAAAGGAGCGCGAGTGCCGCCGCCGCGTCCCGCGGGCTGCAGAGCGGAGCTGCGCGCACTGCGCGCAAGGGGCGGGGCGGGGGCGGGGCGGGGGCGGGGCCTGCCGCGCGCCGGTCTGAGGCCGGCGCCCGTGGACGCCGGGGCTGAGGGCGGGGCCTAGAGCGTCGGGGGGCGGGGCCTGGGTCAGAGGCGGGACCTGGCGGGGCCGGGGTCCGGCGCAGGTGCCTGGAGTAGGTGGCGGGGTCTGGGCCAGGGCTCGGGCCTAGCTGGGCGGGGATGCGGCGGAGCCTGGAACGGGAGGCGGGGCCGGGGCAGGAGGCGGGGCCCTGACTAGGAGGCGGGCAGCAGCCCGGGAAGCCCGGGGAGCCGGGGGAGCTCGGGGAGCTCGGGGATCCCGGGGTTCCTGGGCATCCTGGAGCCGCGGCGCCCAACCCCGGGCCCGGCCGGTGGGGTCGGCTTTCCGCCGCCTGCGCCGTCCAGACCCCCGCCGCGCACTGTCCCGACCGGTCCGCGGGGACCCTGCCGGAGGCCCGAGTCCCGCTCGGCTCCGCCCTCGCGAGGCGCCTGCCTGTCGGGCGAGCCGCGGGAACCGCCGGCTGAACGGGGGAGCATCCTCCGTCGGTGGCCGAAAATCAGTTTTCTAACAGATTTTCTAATGGTAATGAGTCATCCGTGAAAATCAGTCATGCACTGTCGAGGAATAACCGCCGTCAAAGTCGTGGGTATTTTCTTACCGTGTGGTGTCGCTTGGGCCTATTCTTTTCCTCCTGCAACGCTTCCCTCCCGTCTTTCACGGAATTCGGGATCCGGGTCATTCCTAGGGAGCCGGAGGTCTGGCGCGGTGGAGGCCACCGGGCCCCACTCTCTAATAAGGCAGGAGTGGACCGCCTGATGCCTACCGGAGGAAACTGCCGATTTACGGTGTAAGCGTCCAGCGCGGGCCTCTAGGCGCACAACAAACGCGGACGACCGTGTGAATGCGGCACCTGGGCAGGTGCTCCTGGCCCCTAAGTGAGCAAAAGCAGGAAGTAGTGCAGTGCAGGGAGCAATCCCTCGTGCGTGGCAGGTGTGAATGAGACAGACTCTGTCTGTCTCAGGGGGTTACAGGCTATTAGAGGAGGCAAGAAGGAAAAATACTAAAAAGAAAATATTTCGAGAGTTGAAGCAATACCTTCTTCCTTTGGACCAGAAAGGTGGAACTATGGTGTCCACGCATGGCCAGCCCAGTCCACTCCAGAAGCCGGCCGTTTTTCTTGCATAGACCATGCTAATTTTCATCTGCTTACCCCCGTAAGGTGTATACCCTGATGATGACTTCCGTCCTTCCTGGGAAAGAGGCCCCCATTTTGAAAAGGACGTGAGCATGCCTTGTCATCTGTCATATGGACGGGGAGGGACGACCCCTCTTTACTGTGCCAGCTGAGGTGTACAAAACTTAGACATAGAGAAGCTGAGCGCTTGCACAAGGACAAACCTGGTACCTGGGGCAGAGCTGAGAATAATAGCCAGACCTAGTTTCCAAACCAGTTAGATTTTTTTTACCCTTGGAATTTAGTTTGCATTAAGAGCCTTAAGGCTTAGCAAAATAAAGTAGGTTAGAGTGGCACCATATGTAGAATGCCGTGACTTTCTGGTTTTCTGAGTACTAGGACGGAGTAAGTATTTACGTAGCTGAACTAGATCAACACAGATATCATGATGGGTCCCTGCATGGTAACTTTGGATATGAGGATTATAAGGGCTTCCAAATGCCAGTGTTCTAGTTGGTTGGCCCCAAGTTCTGCCCAATTATTACTACCAATTACAGATTTTCTTTGGGATTCTTGTTCCTGAAAAACTCTGGGGAAAGGGCGGGGGGAGCTAGATTCATTACTTATGTGCTTCGATTTATTTGACAAAATAACCATAAATATGGAGAGAACATTCTCTCTTTCACCAAACTCTACTCCAGTTTCCCTGAATTTCAGCTAGGCTTAGACTTTAGGCCTTGGGTGTTTGTGTCTGCATTGTCCAATTTTAGTAAGATTCCTGCTAACTTGGTTTAGCTACAATTGCTATCCCCAGTACTCCACAGTCCTTGGTATCTGATCAAGTCCCTCACCCCTCCCAGGCTGCCCCAGGTGGGGTCAGCTCCCGGCCACCTGCCTTCAGCAAGACCCCTGCCGCGTGGGCTTAGCCAGATCTAGCTGGTTTGCGGGCCCTGGTGTTTTGTCTTAGTAACATTCCACCCTGGGTCACCCCCCCAGCCCAGCCCAGGGTAAAGAAGTTGTCCATGCTGCACTTAGAGCCTTCTCTCTTCCTGCTGCAAGGACAAGTGGGTTTTCCGCTCCCACTGCCATAGTCTCTGAGTAGAGTCCACTCTACCGTGCTTTCACGTCTCACGGAGTGACGTTTATTTGTTTGTGTCTAAAGGTTTTATTTATTTGTGTGTGAGAAAGAGAGCACACAAGCAAGCAGAGTGGCAGGCAGGGAGGCAGGCCCCGGGCTGAGCAGGGAGCCTGAGGCAGGACTCGACCTCAGGACCCTGGGATCATGCCAGAGCTGAAGGCAGCCACTCAATGGACTGAATCGCCCAGGCGTCCTTGAACAAGGTTTTTGAGTAATAGTCTTTCTTTAACATAAGCAGACTTTGGTATTTGAGGATATGATTCAGAGACATGGAAACGGGAAGACTCAAAACTCAATGTATCAAAATCCGTGGAACTCTCGGCGCTGGGGGTGGCGTTGCGTGAGGAGCGGCTCGAACGCGGCAGCGCAGGCGCAGGCATGTCCCAGGCCGGGACGCACAGAGGGGCCCACACGTTGCGTGGACATCAGAAGGGCTGTGGTCACACGTGGAGCAGGACACAGTCAACGTTGTGACACCAGAGCTGAGCCTGGAGAAGAAGGACGGACCCAGGCCATGGGCCACGCGGGGAGCTGCACGGGACTCGGGCGGGGCTTCGCCAGGACGCCAGGGGGGGTGCGGGCTCCGAGGGAGACCCCGCCGCGCCTGCAGCTCTGCGTGGGCAGCCCACTCCGATGGGGCCCTCGGGCTGGACGACACGCAGCTTTCTCCCCTGCCCCCCCAACCCCTTCATCCACGTGGCCAGACCCATCTTTTGAGAAGGGCAGTCTACTTAAAACTGGACACGAGAGCAGGGGCTTGGTCTCTTCTGGCCTCCGTCACCACTAGCACCGACTGGCGGGTTTAAGCAGCAAAAATGAATTTCTCACAGTTCTGAAGACCGGAAGTCCGCCATCAGGGAGCCAGCACGGCCGGTTCTGGGGGGCGGTGGGGGGTCCTCCTGGCACACACAAGGCATCTTCTTGCTGTGACCTCACCTGGTACAGAGGGAGCCACGTCTCTGGTGTTTCTTCTCCTGCCATCACTAATCCCATCACCGGGGCTTCACCCCCATGACCTCATAGACCCTGATCACCTCCCAAAGGCCCCACCTCCAGACAGCATCCTGTTGGCATGAATTTCAGGGAGACACAGACATTCGGTCCATAGCAGCTTCCTGGACGACCATGATTCGGATGCCACCCCATGGGGATTCTCACCACATCTTGGTGGATTTGCTATCCCACAGGATCTGTGCTATTAATAATTTTCTTAAAATAGGTCCACTTTTTAAAATTACCAACTTTATTCATGTTCTCTTCATAAAGAAAACATCAACGAGTTTAAAGTGCCAATTACATCTTCTCCCTACGCCTGGGAACAAACACACCACAAAATAACATGAGTTCACGTGCTTCCCACATCAGCTGCCGTGACAGGGGGTGCCACACTGCGCTTTGGAAGCTCTCCCCGGGAGCCAAGTCCCGAATCTGTCCCTTGGCCTGTTGACACCCTTCCTGCCGGGGCCTGCCCACGGCTGTCCACTCAGCCCTCGAAACCAAGGATGTTTCTGCTGGAGGCTTCTCCCACCCTGTCCGCACCACTTACTTCCCCTTTTGCAGCTGAATTACACCCGCCCCCCATCATGTGTTACAGGCCTCACTCCCCAGGCCTTCAGAATGTGACGTTATTTGGAAAGGGGATCATTGTCCACGTAACTAATTAAGATGCGATCATAGTGATTGGGCAGGACAGGCCCTAACCCAGTGGGACTGCTGTCCTTCTAAAGAAGGGACGCTTGGACGCAGGTGCATTCAGGAGAACACCACGGGAGCGGAGAGGCAGAGACCCGGCTGGTGCAGTTTAGAACGCAGACAACACTGAGGATGGCCAGCAGCAGCAGAGGCTGGGGGGCCTGCAGCCGGCCCCCCGTCCCAGGCCTGCCCCCACCAGCCTCCAGCGCGAGAGAGCAAAGGCGCCAGCGGCCTCAGCCCCGTTTGCTGGGCTTGGTCAGGGCGGCCCTGGGACACTGGCTCGGCTGGGCTGGGGAGACTCCCCCGCGGGCCCAGCCCATGCTGCCGGGAAAGCCCCGGACTCTAGAGCTTCTCCTTCTCAAAGCCTCCCCAGGAGCTTCCTTCCCCTCTGCTCTGCGGGAGTTCCCAGGTTTCTAGCATTTTCCTTTCCTCTCACCCTTAAATGAAAGAAAAAGCCTGGCAAGTGAACGTTACTTTGTTTTTAATCATGAAACCTTGATTGTGAAGCAGGTGCCCTGAGGTGGCCGCTGCACGTCCAGCAGACCTCCTGACAAGTAGGAACATGCCCAGACATGCTTTTGGAGGCTCCAGGAGGGAGGTGGACCTTTGTCGGCAGAGGTGGCCTCTGTCTGATCTGAAAGGGAGCCCCCGGCAGGGCCAAGAGCTCGCTACAAACGGGCGCTCTCTTGAATAAAGTACCCCGGGTGCCTCCCCACACCCCACCTCTGTCTCTGCCTCCCTCTGTCTGCCTGCCTCTGTATCTCCATCTCTGTCCTTGTCTCTCACCGTCCGTTGTCACCGTACCTCTGGCAGGAGGACAGTGCCCGACCCGCGCCGAGCCTACCACACAAACTTGTTGACAAGCACCAGACTGGAGGCTGAAAGAGAACGGCTGGCAGCCCCTTCTCAGGAAAGGGGACCTGCTACGGACCGAGCACTTCCGTTCTAAAGA